GTATAAATTAATATTTTGAAACACATACCTGCAACATATTATTCACAATACGGTGCAATTGATATTGCTTGCGATTCCATAGATCAAAGCATGCACGTTGATTTTTTTTGTTGTTTGCTTTACCCATTAAAAGACAAAGATGGCCCCATATGTCTGCTGATGCTATAGCTCTATCTAACAAAGCGACCTCATCGGTGTTAAGTGCTTGAAGTGCTTTTTCAAAATCTTCTTGTTCGAGTCTAGTTTTAGGCGGCATAATCTAAAATATTTTCGGTTTATACCACTTTAATGATGATCTAATCAAATACGATTTTTCTGTAGAATTATGTAGACCTAGCCTTTTACTCTTTACATATGTTCTCGTCTAACTCTCTTCACATTCATCAGATGGCAATACAAAGTATAATTACAATACTGGCTAAAAGAAGAGAAAATGCTTACTGTTCATTTTTTAGTACATTCAAACGTATTTATATTCTTGTTCCGTATCAATAATTCAATAAAATTTTATCTAGTATATTCAGATTGTACTAAGTGTTCGATGTACTAGTGTCTATCTCTTCATGTGAGTATTTACTATAGTAAATTTCATTCGATAGTACAAATGAGAAACTATCTTGTGTGATTAAGTTAAAAGTACTGTGTACTTTAGTTCATCAATCAAAGAACAGATAACAATCTACTCGAAAAAAAAATTATACCTTTTGTACAATTGATCTCTGCTTATCTTTATGTTTAACCTTCATAAAAAAATATTCATTCTATCGTTTCCACATTCATGAATGACTTCAGTAGGTCATTCTTGAATCAGTTTAGTAGCGTTCGCTGCTTATAGGTGACAACAGTTTTCAATAGATTGAATATTCCAAAAATTATCTTGTAAAGAGAAGACAGCTAATGTTTATGTCTTATCAAATATTAAAAGTAGATAGCGCATTATTTGATTAATTGAGAAAATGAGAGAGTTGATATAAAGTAACTAAGTTTTAAGCAGCACACCCAAAATGTTTTTTTTTTGTATAAACAACTTTGTTGTTTCTTTCAATTTCAAGTCAGACATCTATTCTGTATTTGTGTAGTTAATTGTTCACGATAAACTGAAGATTTACTGTATTTGTTTACACACTGAGATAGAATAAAATAACCTCAATTAAACATGTTAGACTGAAAGCAAAGAATTAACTTATTCACGTCTTTAACAATCTTTTTTTTGTTACAATTTATATTATTTATAAATTTTTTAAGAAAAAAATTAACTTCATGATGATTCATTTCAAAACGACTTTTTTTATTATATTCTTAATCAATCACTTCGATGTAATAACAAGTTCGTCGTCAACGACTATTATTATCAATGTAGACAAAGGTATTGCACTTGAACAAATTGGTGTATATTCTGAAAAATTCGTGGAATCAATTTTTCATATATTTATACCTTTCAATAATCTATGTGTCGACTCGCCAAACTCTGACGTATGCGAATATGTTCAATCAACAGACCCGGATATCGTCGAAATCGGTACACTTATCTCACCTTATCAAATGTCGATAGTATACAATCGAGCAAATATTTCTCGTGCAATTCAACATGACATTGGACAAATTTTTTCATATCATAAAATTAACAAAATTATCGCAAAGGCAAAGTCAATCGTCTATTTTATCGATCATACATTTTATGTACCTCGTAGTAATAGTCAATCTATGATGAACAATTTTACCATTTCTACTAACGTTAATGAACGAACACTGATCCATCGAGGAACTAATCCAGCAACGCTAGCTCTTGAACAAGTATTCAATAATAAAGTTGGATATGACTTTTTGACTGATGAACAGATCGTAGAATTTTTATCATTAATCAGTTCAACCATCAGCCAAAAATTTGACATCGAAGACATAAAAGAAAACATGAATATGTTCATTAATATGATTATCGGACAAACTGTATATGCATTGAAGTCATGTTCAATTCGTCAAAATGAACAATTACCAAGTGGTCCAGCATGTCTTGTTGTTTCAACAATAATTCGACGTATTCCAACAGAAACTTCATCTTTTTATCAAGTTTATCATTTGACACCTTTACCAGTTTTCTTTAATGGTGACAAATATATCTACTCTGACTTACCGAAAATATTCGGTTTCAACAAAATCGAAAAAAAAGTTATACTATGGGACGATGATAATTTTTCAACTGTCTGCACATTTTCGAAAATAATACAATGTCGCAATCAACTTATGAATATTCCATTATCTACCGTACCATGTCTTGATGAACTCATGAATACTGAATCCTCATCCATTAGCAAGTGTCAAGTGACTAGATCAAAAAATATTCAATCCAATCTTATCAATATTAAAAGTAATATATGGTATGTTTTTTCAAGTGGAGAATCTTTTGAATGTGAATCACAATCATTATCAAGTCCAATATCCGATATTATATCTGTTAAAGAGCCGATGATTGTAACATTTCCATGTGACAAACCAGTACGATGTTCGAATATTCAATTACCACCAACTACATGTATTAACACTACTGTTATGATCACAACAAAATATAATACTACATTGAAGAAACAATCCGTTCCTGTAATTCTCTTTAACAAAATTACTGATAGACTCGTCTCAATTTACAAAACGGCAGCAATGGAAGCACTAACTCAATTACAAATCGAAATTGACAACAATCAATTGTGGATTAAAAGAATTCTTAAACAATTTGGAAATACTTTACTGTCATTGTTCGCATATGTTCTCTTAAGTATTACTCTGTTGGTCATTAAAATCTCCGGACGTAAAAACAACAAACAAATGGAAAATATCCAAACTCAAATCAATAGAATAAAACGTGATGTATTACAAGAAATATGATTGAAATAGATTATGATGTTATTAATTAATGAACACTTTAAATAAAATGACACATTGAAAGATGCTACTGTTCATTCTTAGACATAGCTGTAATAATATATAAAAAAGGAACTTTTGTAGTATTGTTCAAAATCAATATTTGTTGTAGCTTTTTCATTCTATCAAAAATGAAGTTGTTACAGGACATCAAAAATGCTTAGTCAATTGAAAAAATCTAAATAAAATATCACTATCATTGAGATAAATATTGATGAAATTTCATAGTGAATACGTTTTATTCTTATAAATCATGTTTGGTAGGTAGCCAGATATGTAGTGAATTCAACTTCAAAATCTTTATTTATATACATGAAGATCGACATATGCAATTTATATTTCTTTTAGGAAAAAAAAATTTAATAAGATCATCATGATGATGAATACTCATGGTGTATTGAAAGGAGAGAATTTTTCTCTTCTTAAGTGCACATAGAAGATAAGAAGTGAGATACATTCAATATACTTTCTTGTATTGCTTATAGCTACAATTAATAGCTATGTATATCCATGCGATATAACAAGTCACATTAATTATCAACCGTGCATCAGTACAATATAGGATCACCAAAAAAAAAAGAATTTTATTTGTTTTATAAGAAATGTTCGACTGATCGGAATTTCATTGTCAAATATAACATGAAGTTTCCTACTATAGTTATATCAATTGCCATTACAAGAAATATTATGTTCTTGAAAGAATAATATAAACATTGCAGCTACTATGGATATTAATTAATTCTATAAATGCTATGACATAGAACACATTGCAATATCTTTTCTTTTTTCCAATGTATTTTGATCATTTTTCAATGTTTTGTTTGTTGAAACGAGTGTAGCACTTATTTAGAAATTTGTCTTTTTAATGACTGATAACCTAGTGAAGATTATTTATCAAGTGTTTCTCTATCGTATGTCAATACATACATAGTTACCGTGTTCTAATTATTTTTATGAGTACTCTCTCTTTTTTTTAGTCATTCCTTCTCAATCGATTAGTTGGCATAGGCACTCTTCAATTATTATGTGTTATAATATTTATGCCTTTCAATCTTGTCATGCCTTCAATGTTCTTTCCTTCTCCATTTCTCGACAGAAAGAAAAATGGCACATGTAAATAGAAGACGATACACTTGTACTCATTGTCTATTATGATTGCAATCAAGAAAAAAAAAATATTTACAATATGTCTCATTACACAATGGCTTCATTCGTCGTATAAGTTTTTTTTTCGTTTATATATGAAACTTTATTTTATATATATCTCTGATTGAGTAAAAATATCAATAATACAAGTTTTCATCAACTAAACAATCCTTATCATAAAAAAGTCAGTGTACAAAAAAGAGAATCCCATTTGATTAAGTATGTTTTTTTCCTTCTTGCTAACGATCATAATAACGAATAAGCACAAATATCTTTTCTAATAATGTGATAAATTAGTCGTTTCTTCGAGAAATAAAAAAAAAGGCATGACATACATTAAGTGATCATTAGTCAGAACAGATGAAGAAAATAATCAATGAACACTTTCAATACTGATAAGATGACTCAGTCAGACAGATGAAAAAGAACATATGAAAAAAAAATTTATATAGCTATTTTTCTATTCTTGCGTGAGTAATATACAAATACTAGACGGACTAAGTTCATTGCTATATATCAGTTTCTTCAGTAACTTCAAGGCTTTCGAATAATTAATAACTCATCAATCTTACTTTCAACAGATTAGCTCTTCAAGATGAGTGAGAAATAGAGCGTCAATAATGTACATACGAAAAAAAAAACTATTAATTGAGCAAAGAATACGTTTATTAGAGCAGAACAATAAATTATCATGAGGAAAAGAAAAACATATGAAAATATATTTACAATATGTACAAAAAAACAACAAAAATAATTAAGAGGGGGGCGTGGTTGGTGACGACGACATTGATGAATTTTGTTGGTTGTTACCAATTTCAATCATGCAAATTTTCTTTCCTATAAAAAACAGTCATATAAATGAAAAAAATAGATTTTTATTTACCTGTTCTAATATCTCTTCTTCGACGATGTTCAGCCAAAGATTTCGGGTAACACCACGAACGCTAAAATGCGACCAAAGATTAAAAAACTATAACTTTCAAAAGCATATATGGAACTTACCTTAAAAACACAACCATTACGAATACATTTAATCCCACACCAGCAACTACCAACAAATCCTCCTGATGTAACGACACTTACGACAATGTTGAATCTACTGGACAACCATTCGTAAAGACCCTTCGGAAAGAAACCTGACCAACTAGTAGTTGCCAATGTATTCCACATTGCCGTAGTTGTGGTCGCTTCAGCAGGCGGATTTGAAGGTGTTACTAACGTCGAATTATACTCCTCGAAGCTTTTAAATACAATGTGCTAAACAGACAAATTCAAATCGATCGAAAACATTAATACTGTAACTTACATCAGAGATAGGAGCAGCCACCAACACACCAACGCAACACCACATAACGCATAAATCGAATAAGAACATTTTCATAGTGATAAAAGTAAAATAATGTTTATACGAGAGTAAAAACGAGACGCCCAAATATATAAACTCTCCATCGACATAATTCGATTACCTCACACATATAGTACATCAAAGTAAAATAATAATATAACAATATCCGAAACAATCAAAGAACACCAATCCTTCATAAACAAACAAAGCCACACATTCACCAACACACTACATAAAAAGATAGCCAATTGATCATCAACAAAAACAACACCGAAATCATAACGTAATCGCTACAATTCTCCGTCCAGTGATACGTTACTCAAGTTTTTCACATGAAAACTACCTTCCACAAAAAATCATTCTCAATATATCACGTAAACATAATTATATCTGTTGCTACGGTCTTCTTCCTCCTACAAAACCCCCGTTAAAAATCGATTCTCTCTATGCCGAATACTTCAACTTGCGGATAATTTAATTCTCGATCAAATAGTGTATCCATACTATCATTCCAACGGAAATTCATAGCATATACATCCGTACCAATATCCGACCTCCCCATGAGAAACATGCGACTGCCGTCGTTTCTTCCTTTAAGACGCCTGCTCAAAATCAATTTCCTCTACAGTGAATATATCAACTTGTAGAGAATTTAATTCTCTATTTATTGGTGTACTCATCCTCTTTTACCAATGGAAGATGAGTCCACAGCGAGCGATTTTAATACCACTAATTACCCTTTTTTGGGGTGTGTCCGGTCTATTTCTATCGATTTTGACCCTATTTGACAATCGAATCTGTCTATATGAGATTCATCAACTTGTAGAGAATTGAATTCTCTATTTAGTGGTGTACTCATCCTCTTTTTGCAATAGAAGATGAATCCACAGCGAGCGATTTTAATATCGCTAATTACCCTTTCTTGGTGGTGTCGAGTCTTTTTTTTCGGATTTGAAGCCCGGTTGAAAATCGAATCTTTCTATATCAGATTCATCATCTTCTAGAGAATTAAATTCTCTATTCATTGGCGCACTCATCCTCTTTTTGCAATGGACGATCAGTCCACAGCGAGCGATTTTAATATCGCTAATTACCCTTTTTTGTGGGTGTCGGGTCTTTTTATTCGGATTTTGACCCTATCTGAAAATTGAATCTCTGCATATGAGATTCATCATCTTGTAGAGAATTAAATTCTCTATTCATTGGGGTACTCATCCTCTTTTTGCAATGGAAGATGAGTCCACACCGAGCGATTTTATAATCGCTAATTAACCTGTTTCCGGGTGTCGGGTCTTTTTCTACCGATTTTGACCCTATTTGAACATCGAATCTCTGTATATGAGATTCATCATCGTGTAGAGAATTAAATTCTCTATTCATTGGTGTACTCATCCTCTTTTTGCAATGGAAGATAAGTCCACAGGGAGGGATATCAATATCGTTATGGAACATATTTGATGGGTGGGGCAGGAACCCGGCGTTGGGGTAGGAGGTGTTTTTTGTAATTTTTGTTATTTTGGTATGAGTTGTGGGGAAGGGGCAAGGTGAATAATTTTGATTTTATCGGATTTTATAGTGGGTTGCTAAGATGTTTCATGGTGGTATTTTATGGATGGTATATCGTAAAACATGGATTGGTAGCGATTGGTCAGTGGCAGAGTCGATTTTGATTGGTCGTCGTGCTAGCTTCACATCGATATTATGAAAAGAACATGATGTAAAAATCATTAATCTAATGTAATGATTTAAAGTATTTGAAATAAACAAAATTAAAAGTCAGATGAAAGTAATAAAAAAACAATGTTGTCTTTTCGAGTTTGCTCGTTTTTAACTAGTCGAGTTTATGAAATGAAAAGCGCGTGAGTGGGGGATGTGGCCTGTATTCCATCACTCAAACTCACAATCTAGTACTTTTCCTCCTTAATTTTATGTTTTTATTTCATACTGAGAGTTTTTAAAAGGGTTTTTTTTTTAATGAAAAAAATTCTAGTTCCTTAGCTTTTCAAAAAGGAAAAGAAAACTTTATTTTGATTTTAAATCAATTTCAATTGTTTCATTGTTGTCTATCATGATATAATATGATCAAAGTGTATATTTAGAGAATTTTTGCAAGATTTCATGAGCATGTCGAAACTAAATCTATAATCGTTCTGTATAGTTAGAAAGAGCAAACTATTAGCTACAAACTCGCGAAAAACAAATTGTTCTTATCTAACGAAAATTGTGGAATAGAAAGTAACTTTTGTCGATTGATGGCGCGAAAAGCACAGATTTTATAGTAATGGCAATCAAAAGACTTGATACTTTTGTAGTAAGTAAAGAAAACAATGAGAAGTATGCGGAAAAAAGAATTTCTGAATGTTTGAAAAACAACAATACAATACAAGCACAGTTGATCGGCTTACACTCATCCTATTCACATCCCATACTATCAAGCAATTATATGTTATCTAAATTTATTTTGTATAAGATCATAATAAGAAAACATTGAATGTTGTAACATGATCATGTTTTAAGTCTTGTTGTGATTTCAAAAAAATAAAAATAAAAAATTTTTTCTTGAATAATCATTTGTGTTTTTTCGTACATTAAGGTATGTAAGTGATTTTTAAATAAGGTCTGGCTTGACCATAACGATAAACTATATATTCTTTATATTCAAATTTCGTTCCTCTGACTGAATGATAACCTTTTGGTGCAGACACCAACGAGTTATCGACTTCCGTATAAATTGATTCCTCGCCCAGAAGCACTTTATTATAAAACATTACATGGGATCCATCTGATGCCGGAGGATTTGTGTATTTGTGCGATTTTCGAGGATCATCAGCGAAATAGGCGCCATGACCTATAAAATAAATGACAAAATATTAATCGAATAGAATCATAAATATTTCAATGTTAGATTTTTCCTCAAAGATTATTAACCAGAATAATTTAAAGATATGAAACAATATCTGATTTATTATTATTTTAAGGTATTTATATGTTGTAAGATTCTTATTATTTAAACATTGATTATTATAAATAAATATATTAATATCTGATAAAAATTAATAACTAAACGATGAAACCTACCCCAAGCTTGATTCAGATTATAAAATCGATCATCAAAGCCATAATCTGTGATTCCCTGAATTGCATCACCACTTGTACCATGAAAAAGTTCACGTTCATTTGGATTAAATCCTGGACGTTCTGTACTGATGACTTTTTTCATACCTTCATAGATCTCTTCTAAATATGGATTTTTAATTTCCTCAATGGATTTAATTTGTATGCTAGAATTGATTAGTTGCATTTGTTTTAATAGAGCTTGATATGTAATACTTGTATGATGTAATGGTACAAGAAGTGCATTACTTTTCCAAGGTGGATTTGGTAATATATTGAATGTTGGTTCTAATTGTTTCCAATGACGAATTTCTGTCATTTTTTCAAGACGTTCCTTAAGTTTATCGTCAATACTACGAAGAACATAAAATTGTTTATTTTTAATGTTATTAACAACTGTTTCAAGTTCAATTGAATACGGTTTTTGTTGAATATCAATACGCATTCCTAAGTCACGTGTATAATTTTTTTCTAATACTAAATTACTAACATCAAAATCAATACGATCATGAGTTAATGCAACATGTGGTTCAATTAGATCTATCGTAAATGGTCCTGTTTGAGTATTTTCATCAATTAATAAAATATATCTCCATTCTTCCCGATAATATTTGCATTTTATATCAAATTTATGAAGTTTATCTTGAAATTTTTCAATATCAAATGAACCGAATGTTGGTAAATGACAGTCTAAATCACCTGGAACAACTTGTTTAATCATGTAAGGAATACGTACACCCTGACGATTTGGCTTATATTCAATCCAATCGTTTAGTTTAATATTAGCTGGTGTTGCCTTATATTTTCCAACAACCCAATCTCGAACAAAACCACCTTCTAATTTACAATTGAATTTACAAACAGCTATCCAAGCAACAACTTCCATTCGTGTTTCACGTGTTGCTTTTGAACCTTTCACATTATTATATAAATCGATATATGTTCGTTTAGGATCTGTAATACGAGAAATTCGTTCTTCAATATCTTCACAATTAACACGCACTTGAGAACGAAGAAGACGTGGAGAAACACCTGATATTAATAAATTTTAAAAAAATATATATAGTTAATTAATATTGATTAAATATAGTTTTATTCTTTACCTGAATTCGGATGTCTAACAACAGCACATGTTTGTAACCAACCTAAATATGAATTGAATTCGTCTTTAACTTTTTTAATTTCTGAATTTCGTCCTTTTACTGTTATATCACATGTTTTAGTAGCTGTATTACTATTTACTGTTATTGTAACTTGTTTTTCAGCTTCCCATCTTCGAATCATTGGATTAAATATTTGTGTCATTTTCGTAACACTAAATAAATTTTGTGATAAATTTTTATATGCTGTAGAACCTTTATTATTATTATTTTCTAAAGAAAATGGTCGTTGAACAATTAATTGTTGTAATAAATATAATTCAGTTTTGAGTGTAACACCAGTTTTTCCAGTTAAACTAAGAAGTGTATTATTTAATCTCATTTGAACATTTTTTGAAAAGAGTGTTGTTGCTGTTGAATATCCATTATTAGTTTTAAGTAACTTTTCTTCAACTTCATTTAATTTTATATCTCGTGTAACATCATGATCAATCCAATCAGCTTTTATTTTTCCTAAGAATGAAATTATAGCTACTAAACGAACCGAACTTAAATAAAGAATATTTCGTGCTATGACAAGTGATGCAGGTGGTTGACTTAATGGTTGTATTAATGTTGATTTTAAATCTAAAACAGCTATATCATTTCCATTACCATAACGTAGAAAATGATGAGTTCGATCTTGTAAATCTTTTTTCGAAACAAAAACATTATCAGAATAACCAGCTAATAATGATCGAGCTATCAATTCCCAACTACCACATTGAATTTGAGCTTGTTCACGATAATCATTTGAAAGATCAAATGTTTTTTCATATGTATTATATCGACTTAATGCTTGTCCAATAATATGTTTTATATGACTAAGACCTTTTGCTTCACAGACACGTTCTAAATTAAATAATTGTCTTCGAACAGATTGTTTAATTAATAAAATTTCATTCATTACATTTAAAAGTGTCATAAAATCACCATCAGAACTTTTAAAACGTTGCGGTATTTGTTTTAATAAATTTGTTGTATTTAAAACACTTAAAATAGATGCAAGACAAATTATATCACGTCCACATGTATACGTTCGAAGAGCAGCTAATACACATCGTGTCATAGGTAAAGAGCCAAAATCTGGTAATTTAGCAAGTAATTTACCATAGGTTGTGAATTCATTGGAATTTTTCTTTATAATCTCTATATAAATAGAAAATCAAATAATAAATAGTTATTTATTATAGATTAAATTTAACTCAATTTACTTTATGAAATGATGAAAAATAATCGAAGAAACATTATAAATTGATTTTTGTTGGGATTTAAGACTAAGGATATGGATCGTGAAAGTCTTTCAAGATTCATTTAAAACTCGTTTTCCAAAAAAAAACAGAAAAACTTTATGTCTTATAGGTAATTCAAAGTGTTCAATGATCTGACTATAAGGATCAAATATGAACTTTTGTTAGTCAAGAAATCTATTATATAAAGAAGTTCTTTTTCTATAATTAAAGTATTATCGATAGTAACATCCTAACTGATAACTATTAGTTGATATTATTTTTTTTTTGTAAAATATTTTATTATAATGATTTAAAAAACATTTCTCCATTTAATTTCTATTTGAAGAATAAAATAATCTTTTTTTGTTTATTAAACATGAAAATAACTTACGCATTCGTACTAATTCTTGTGTAGTATAATAAATAGCTGCTGATGTTGGTTGTTCAGGTAAAAATTGTTTTAAATAATCTAATCCATTTTTTAATGGGGATTTTCGTAATGAAAATTCAATACTTATTAAATCTGATTGACATATTTGTGGTATTGGAAATTGTTTCTTTTTATGTTCAGGATCATACAAAGCATAATATTCTCCAGGTTGTGTTCGTCCTAAACGTCCATAACGTTGTTTTATTGTTGATTCAGCTGCAGGAACTTCTTTCAATATCATTCTTCGATCTCCAATATCAAAAATAGGAACATTAATCATACCAGTATCAACAACATATTTTAATGATGGAAATGTTAAAGAAGTTTCAGCAACTGTTGTTGAAAAGAAAACACTTCCTTTTTGAAGATATTTTTTTTGAGTAGATGATGATTGAGATTGAACTAATGGATAACCAACAATTGTTTTTTGACTTACTTCAGCTAATAAACGACAACATTGATTAACTTCTGCAACTTAATTAACAAAACATAATATTTGATCTTGTCTATCTCGTTTACTATATAATTCTTTTACAATATTGATTATATTTTCTTTTGGTCTTGAAAACCGTTCTACAGAATGTAGTGCCGGCATATTTGTATCTGTAAATTCTGAAAATTTAACATGTTTTATATTTTGAAAAAGTTTTGGTACAGATGGATGTAATGTAGCAGATGAAATAATAACTTTGATTTTTGATAGTAATACTCGATTATTAGTTAACATACGAGCTATTAATGCCAAACAAAGATCAATATTTACAGATCTTTCATGAACTTCGTCGACAAAAATCACAATAGATTTATTAGCAAGTGTATGATTTGTAATAAAATTTTCATCATTAAGTAAAAGTTCTTTCAATAATCCATCTGTTAAATAAAGAATTTTAGCTCTTGAATTTTGTCCATCACCACTAACAGCCCATCCAGCTATTTTTTCTGCATTAGGATTTTTATCAGTTATCATAGTTTTATTAGCACGATCACAAATTAAACGGCAAGGTAAACGACGAGGTTGTGTTACAAATACTTTATCATATCCTTCAGCAAGTAATAAAGCTGGTAGCAAGGATGATTTTCCTTAAAAAAACAATGAATAATCTTATTTTCATATAGCAGATTTAATGAGGTTTTATCTTGGGCGAAATTATCAAATCTCGATTAACTCTCTTTCATACTGGAAAGTAAATAGCTTTTTTTCCCAAAAAGCTGAAAGTCGTAATTTAGTATTCATATCGAAATAAACTTAATACTTAGAGTTTTTCATTAGAAATTATGATAACAATAAAAAGATCGATCAAAGAACTTTTTCTATTTGAATAGATTGAAAGATATCCAAGATCTTTCATTGAATGAAGATGTTTAGATATTCTTAGCTAGAATATTGAAATCGAATTCGATCACATCCGTCTTTGACTAAGAAAAATTTTGATCAATTAAAGTTGTATCTATGTACACAAAAAAAAATGAAATATGACAAATCTCAATTGAATTTTGAAAATTTTGAATTCCAGAAACTCTATTAGTAATTTTCTTATACCTGAACCAGTCGATGTAGATATGGTAATGACTGTATTCATTTGTATTTGTTCTAGTAATTTAATTGATGATTTATATAAAGGTAATTGAATGGTAAAACAACAGTAATAAACCATTAATCGTTGTAATAAGTGGGGAACATGACGAAAATTTTTTAATTTATAACCAATATATTTAGAATTCTCTTCGAAAATATGTTTAATTTTTTCGACAAAATGTTTGAGAATTTTGATTGACTCTTTCGTTGGTTTTATTGAAATTTTTATTCGTTGAAAAGAAATATTTAGTTCAATAAATTTATCTAATGCTTGACGTTTCAATCGTTTTATTTCATTTGTAAATAAATTTTCAGTCATAAATGAATTTGTTGCTTTTCTTATTTCAACCCATGGTGATCGAGAATCGCCTAGAATAAATAATTCACTATAATCTAAGGTTTTGAATCCAATAAAGTCTTTGTATTTTGCCAAATATTGTGCACTCTCTGCTTTTAATAATCCATATAAGAATTGACTATATTGTTTCCAATATTTAGTGTTTGGTTGAACTCGAAAGAGTATTTTATTTATTGATGTTGTTATTCGTCTAAGATATCTTTGATAAAATTCAATAGCTCGTTGTTTTATAGTTGATAAAGTTATTACTCTTTTTAAGATTTCTTTAAAAGCTTGATGATGAGCTTGCATACCAGTTATAGTTAATACAAATGTATTATTATTTTCTTTGAATGTCATTTTGAGTATGTTATCATTGAAAAATTTATCTAATTCTATTGTTCTTTGTAAATGATCAATTATTGATTCTTGTTTTGGTATTATAAAGTCATATAAAATACTTTTTTCAATATTCTTGTATTTGACTGTTTGAATTTTATTGGCTATTTCTTTTATTTTTTCTTCTTTTTTCTTTAATTTTTGAAGTTCTTCATTCAATCGGTCAGCTCTTTTACAAGTTTGAGCTAATTTTTCTTCGAGTTCATGTGATTTCTTTTCAGATGATTGTAATTGTGACGCGATCTTTTCATTTTCTTTGTCACGAGCACTTTTCAAATTTTCAATTTCCTTTTGTAAACTTTCTAATAGGGCTTTTGCTACTTCAGCATCCTCTGATGTTTCTGAATCTTTCAGTATTTTTGTTGATAGTGATTGATGAGAAGTATCACTCTGAGGATCAAGATAATCATCAATTTTAACATCATCTACATCATCAGACGTATCTAATTTCATTGTAGAGAATTTTGAATCTAGTCTATCTTCTGCTCCACCATGACTAGTAATAGATAATGAAGATTCATCGCTATCACTTTCATCATCATTGACACACCATGTGGAATCATCAGATGCTTCATTTGTCTGAAAATAAATAAAAAGGGTATGTTTTTCTTGAATGTTCATTGAAAACAAAATAAAACTCTTCTAATGCAAGGATGTTTAGATGTATTTGAAGAAAAGATTAACGGCCACATCGATACTTATTCATACACTCAAAAGATCGTGATGTTATCATACTTTTGCTTACTAATATATTTAACATAATAACTGCAGTTTACAGAAACTTTTTTCTTTACATCTATAGATACATCAATATTGTTCTATGAGTGACTTTTTTGGTTTTAAGATTTTTATCAATTCAATTCTCTCACAATCTGATTTATGATGCTATTGCTTAGCTTCTATTTACCTTATTTGACTTTGATAAGACATCATGATTTTTATCATCGTCATTATCATCATCATCCTCATCAACATCATTTTCAAAACTTAATGATACTGCATCATCATCATCAGCATCATCATCATTTCCATCTCCATATAATTCATCATCTTTAGTTAAACTATCATCAGTTGTATTAGTTATTTGTTGAAGATATTTTCTTGTGAGAGGTATTGGATTTAAATTTGTCATAGCTGCAAAATTATCTATTGTTTTTGATTTATCATCATGGTCCTTATTATTTGATACTAATTTTGGTATCCATCGAATAAAACCAGTAATAGTACCTTTTTGATTTTTAAATGAAAATTTTTGAAGATCGAATATTAAATTTTTATCATCAATAAAATCTAAACTTAAATCAATCTTCTTTTGACGATAATCCATTGCATGATCTAATCGTGAATTTGTATTCAGATCACAATTATACCAAGATTGAAGTTCTATTTCAAATGTTGGATCATCTACTGTTGGTATATTCGAAACATCTAAAGATGGTATTGAATCTAATTTAACTTTTGGATGTGTTAAAAACATAATTTGCCATAAAGAAAAGCAATCGAAATTTAAAATTGACGAACCACGACATCGAATCCAAGCTAAATTATTTTTATCAAGATTTGTATTTAAAGACAGAAATTTGATCATTGAAATACTATACATATCGTTGGATTTTTTTAAATGAATTTCATATTCAAATTCTTGACCGGATTTTATTATTAAAGATTTTTGTAATACTTGTGACTCATTAGATGAAAATGCAGACCATTCTTGATCATTGAGTGATTTATATTCCCAAATACAATCTACTTTTCGTGTAGTTTCTTCGAATATAGGTTTATCTGGTAGATCACGTTCAATTGTTGAATAACCTAATATAAGATAATCTCGAAAGTATTTTTTTATCTCATCATGATCTCCTATATTAAAAAGTGGTGTTTCTGAAGCTTGATTTTTTATAAAATAATCCGCTCCATGTTCAACTAAATATTTAACAACTTCTAAATGTCCATTAAAACATGCTCCATGAAGTGCAGTTGATGCTGCTCTTGATCTAACTTCATAACTAGTACTTTTCGTATCAATTGATAAGATTTTTTCAAGATGTTGTTCATTTTGTGCATTAACAGAACATTTTGCCTTTTCAACAAGATATATTACTACATTCATATGGCCATTTCTTGCTGCTGAATATAAAAGTGTTGTACCCCAAAGTCCAGGTTTATCTTTTAGAGTTGGATAATTTTTAATAAATTTTTCAACAATGTCTTTTTTTCCATCCCAGGCAGCTTGATAAGCATCAATTGAAGCTAAGAGACTTTGAAAACCACGACATAATGGAAGAATAGTACTCATACTTAAATGATCTTTAAAAATTCCTTGCTTATAGTTATAATCATACTCATATAAAAAATTTAATACATAATCTCTACACGTAGAAGATAGATCCGGTAAATATTTATTGGGTATGATTTGTATATTATGTCAACAGGAATAGAAAGTTATAAAAATATAATTAATAATTAAGATGACTAGCAGCCTCGATACACCAGCTAAGAAATGATAGATTTATCAACAGTTTGAATATCTTTCAAGATATTCTTAATATAGATTTGATTTACTCGTTTTTATCACTTTCTTTGCTTAAAAGTGTACATCGAAGTAACGAAAATGCAAATTAATATTATTGTAGTTTCTAAAAAAAAAATCCTTTTTATCATATTGGATATTTTTTTTTTACATACAAATACTCATTATTATTCCTAGACAAATTTTAATAATAAATTAATGTTAATAACTATAATGCATATTTAGCAAGATCAGAATTTTCAATTTTAAACACTAACCTTGCGAACGAGATTGATCGATTCTCAGTAAGAGACAATAGTAGAAAATCGAAATGATCATTTTCAAAACGTCAAAAATCCTTTGAATATCAATATTGAAGATCTAAAAATGTATGATTGTAGATACTTTTACAAAATATTTGTCAAAATATCTCTCGTGACCAAGATCATGCAAAAGATCAAAGTGATATAGAAATTGAAATTTTTTTCGCCTAATATTTATTACATCTTAGTCAACAGTAATCGATTTCGATAATATATCAGTGTTAAAAAAAGAATTTTCAAACATTTTCTTAGTGTGATTGTTAACTAAACTTGTAAAATTATCATAAAAATTATGAGATTGTGATTGCTCAGATCTCTCATATATTTTCATTTTAATAAATTTGTAGTACTTTGAACCTTTCAAATCCAGTATCGTTTTTGTC